CCCCCCCCCCCCCCCACCCCTCACTACTTGGTTGCTTTTATTTTTGGAGATACTGAGCTCAATAATCAACTTCAATTTTTTAAGGTAAGTGAGTCTGAAGCTGACGTTTTGGGCGTCAACTCCTCGTCGGAGCCAACTGGCATACGTTGCCTTGACTAGCCTTGGCTATCAGTAGGCATTGAAACGTTTTCAACTTACTGCCCGACAAGTCGTTTGACTTCACCCCATGGCACGCCGCGGATCCTGGCGTAGGCTTCAAGGTGTTCCTGCAGTGTCACGATCGGCCAGAGTGCGTCTGCCTGTGGGCAGAAGCCCATGTGTTGGAATGCCTCAAATGGATGTCTGCTCATGTCATAACCCGCTACATAGATCTTGATAAGGAAAACAAAGAACAGAGTCTGAATACATAATACATAAAAAATATCGCTTACACAATAAGCTAAACGAATTGTTGACCAGTTTTTCAAAATTGACTAATGATACTTCGCTTAAAAGTACAAAGAAATTCGAATAACATGGTCCAGTTCAGATCGCCCTTTCTTATACTAGAGGCGCATATCGGTCCAGAAGAATTATACCCCTGTTTTATGCGCCTATATAGAATAAACACGAGATGAACTATCATATCGCACACAGAAGCGCTCCAACGCCAGAAAAAGGATACCACGTAAGATTTTAAACTTTCTTGTAGCTTTTCAAAGGAAAAATGGGGATAGTTCCCAGATTTTTAGATTGAATTTCAAATCCATAGAAACTCTTACTATACATACAAACTGTATCCCGTACGCTTTGGTCACCTGTGATCTGGCTACGGTAACTATGCAAACAAGTTTTATTGCCTTTACACGTGATCTTAATCGTAACTGTATACTACCTTTCCCCTTGTTGGTGGAAGGTCTCCAGTTACCATGTTCAGAGAGGTTGTCTTCCCAGCTCCGTTTGGTCCAAGAAGTCCAAAGACTTCTCCTCGCTCTACACCAAAAAACAGGTCTTTGACAACTGTTTTGGCTTTCCTGCCGGTGTTGAATCTCTTCCACAACCCCTAAACAACGCAATTAAATAATAGCTTTAGCTCTTTGTTGGAACTGCTGGTGTTTGACCCCAATATTGTAGTGGGTGTGATAACAACAGAGGCACGATGTGGTTAGACTCGAAGATCGAGAGGTCTATGCCTAATGAAATTCCATGTGTTTTATCATTATCTGTTATATTTTTGGCCGGAACGGTAGATGGAGTCACCCCGCTTTCATATTAATTTCCTCTGCTGAGATGTATAAATGCGAATTAACAAATTCCTGGGAAACCCTAGCCTTCTACGAAGACCGTCTTTGGGTTTGTCACACATAAGATTGCGTGCCGAGCCAGTAGGAAACTAGAGAAACCCTGGCATAATGCAAAGAGAAACCCTGGCACAATGCAGAGGGCGGGGGTGGGGGAGGAACTTGTGACTGATCGAGCTCTTGCGCTCTTGAACTTGCCTTGATTATAACGGAGAAAGAGGACTCTTCGATGGAAGTTTCGTTTCTGTTTAACAGTTTCTCCTTCTCTCTTCGTACGTCGTCGTCCTCTGGTTCCGGTGACCGAACGCTGTCAGATCGCACGAGGTTCGGACTTCCACCAATTTGGCCATTTTTCTTGCCACTGAAAAAGTAAATGCAACTATACTCGGAGAAAGCAGGTAACGTTCTTTGCGGCCTGCTTTAGAAACCCACAAGGATCCCTCAACACGCTTTTGTTTCTCCTCTTTTCTAATATTATAGTATTTTGTCTTTATAAGGGCCACGTGTTGAGAGATGCCCGTACAAGGGCAAGCTAACGTGTCGAGAGACAGGGGACTCAAGCCACCCTCTGGTCATATGGGAGCCACTCTTCGTAGGTCGTACGGGATTAACGGGACGTACGGGTCTCACGGGATTAACTGATAACAGAGGGTACGGACCGTATATGTCACTGGTTATTTGGAGAGTACAGGTCGTGTGGGATTACGGCACGCACAGGCGGTACGGGATTAACACGAAGTACGGGCCGTACGAGACTTACTGGTAATATGGTGCGGGATGAATTGTATGTGATAAACGGGTGGTTCGGGATAATCGGACCCTCTGTTTAAGATGCTACCCAGGACTTGCTCGGCCCTGGCTCCGAGCAATGAAAGATCTTTTCCAGAGGTCATGGGATTCGTCACGTAGCAAGTGATCAAAGACTTTCTTGTTCCCTTTTCTGGTTTCTTCTCCCTCGGCAATAAAGTTAGCCCCACTAGGAATATATAGGGCATATGGTTATTCATTATGACTCAACATACCTGCAAGTACAAGAGCACATGGCTTTACCGGCGACATTTCGTTGGTCCAGAATATAGATCAACACAGCGAAAAGGATTGTATGAAAGACAGGCTGAGAGAAACAAACCAGAATTTTAAGTAATCATTCAATACAAGGCAATGAGATATTAATTAAAACCCAGTAAAGACAGATACGCGAAGACAATACTAAGGTTGAGCTATAGTCGTTCTGCAATTGTCTAGCTGAATGACGTTCAACTGTTCAACAGTCCAACAGTCGTTCAACAGTCTAACCAGCTAAACCACAGTTCCACTGCAGTCTTGGCAGTCACACTACACAACATTCTCGTGATAGGCGAAACACAATCCTTTAGTGCTCGTGCTTACACCACATTCCAAACACAGTCATATCAATCTCAATCTAGGTCACAGGCAGGCATCCCATATTCATAGCACAGTTATACTACAGTCTTGTCAGTCACACTACAATCACACAATATTCCTGTCATAGGCAAAACACAATATGTGAACCCGTTTGGCCTTTCTACATGAGCAAAATCCGCGTCAAATGATTTGCTATTTCCAGACCCTCTTAAGATTTCCGCAACCGGGATTGATCTAAAAATAACTTAAGACGGATTGTCGTGGACTAGGGAATTAACTCTCTAACGTTCATCCTCTCTTGAACAGTCTCTGCATTTCTACTGCAGTTGTACGGCAGTCATACCTGTCGCATCATGGGCAAACCCGCCACAATAGTAACAAAACAACGCGTGTGTAACTGTGTGTGTCTCTTTGGTTGTAGTTTTAGCACATTCACAAATGAACAAGGAACTTCTACTAAATCTAAGGCGTTGTCTACCAGGAATCCGATAATGTTACAACACCATATTATCCAATTTCCGCTCTATTATCTGTCAAGAGGTCGCTCACGGGAGGTAAAAAACCAAAATAAAATGTCAAACTTTTAGCTTTAAAAGTGGTCGCGGTCGCTTGCGAGAGGTGGTCTCTTGCAAGAGGTTCCAAATCTAGTGATTTGACTTGAAATCTTTTGGTATTTTGGAGAACTGGTCGCTGAGGAGAGGTGATCGCTTACGAGAGGTGGTCGCAACTGGAGGTTCGACTATAGTCGTATCATAGGCCAACCCGTCACAACAGTAACAAAACAACGCTTAAGGATTGTCGTAAGAACTCACAGCAATCAATGCAGCAGGAATGCCATTGTATTTAGTCCATTTGAAGTAATCACTTGCAGTGACTTGCACATCAACTGATCAACCATTGGCTGTAAAAAACGCTATAGCGGACTGGTACCTGTACACCTAAACAAACATACAAACAAACAATTAAGTTCTGGTGAGAACAAGAAAACAAGAGATTTGCATTCTTGCGGTATGACAAATGAAGGATTCCCTCCGAGGAGTTTTCTTCTAAGCGAGTCAATTTCACCCAAGGTAAATGAGCTTGTCGAATGTTACAGCAAAACTCTGAGATAAATAAACGTCTGGTAGTATTTAAAGATCTTCCTTTAAGAATACTCACGGTTTCGATATAGTACAAAGCTCCGAAGACTGGATAAGGAGGTAACAGAAATACAGCCACATAGTGAATGATAATAGCTGTATCACGGCTTGCTGTCATATCCACTAACGACACCGACATGAATGGGATTAAAGCAGCCTAGAAAAAAGGATGCAAAAGAGTGAGGTTTTACGCATACGCTCTTCAAGTTCAATAACGGTTTCTGAACATGCCTAAAGGTTACTGCTAACCAAAAGGATCGTGGCCCCTGGGAACGAGATTGCTGTTTACGTAGCGTTAGTTTCCGCGTATTGCACAGATCACACAATAGTTATCTGTACTTGCCACAGATCACCAGCTCTTATGATTCTTTCCCGCGCTGCCATGGACACGCAATCGTCACGGCTTCCTTTTGCTTGCCACGGGTTACATATTTTTCCAGACCCACCTCGATTACAAGTTTTCTGGATTACATATGTTATGGATTACACATTTTTTCTTCTAGTATTGATTTTTTTTTTTTAACCACTGCAGTGACTGGCTATGATTGATTTCCTTTGATTGAAGTCCTACTATCCAATGAGCTATTGACGTTTGCAGGGTAAATGTACTACCCGAGTCTACTTACTGTACATACAGTTGATTCCCGCTATTTGAAACATAGTTCGAGATGCTTTCGGGGGTTCAGCCATAAGCCGATAGTAAGTGACTGGCAAGTATGTTCAAGGGAAAATGTTTCGAGGATAGCAAAGTTCTACTGTATCTCAAACAGAAATGCAGAATTTCACGAACGCGTTTTGTTTGTGTTTTTCACCTCTACAGATTATCAAGTCCAATTTCTGTACCTCATGTAACGCTGTCAAGACAAACAATGTATCATTTGTAATGATTTGTCCAATCATTGCATGACTTTCCAGGATGAACTCGCGCTATACTTACAAAGGTGAAGACATTGGGCAAAACTTGCTGGGCTACGTCCCACGAACTGAACGGGAATGACATAAGGTAGGAGAACAGTATCCCCGAGGGCAGGTACAGGAGCAAAGCCATCACCAGGCAGCCCATGGCGGGGGCAGGAGACAGCGAGGGTAGCTGGAAGGCTGGGATGAGTATCAGCATTAACACCATTGGGATGAGGAATATGATGGCATCAGAGATGAAGAGCTCCAGCCAGTAAACAAATGACGACACTCCAGACACCCTTAGTAAGTGACGAATCTTCTCCTGCAAACCAAAAACAATTTTGATTATGCTCATGAAATCTTCATCAGGAAACGAACCAACGAGACGCACACACTTAAAGGAGTTACGTCACGGTTTGCGTTAAAAGTTTAGCCTACATTTTTCAAAGTCGTCGTTTGTAATCCGAGTTAATCTTCTCCATCCTTAACCATCCTTGTTCCTTTATGGTTTATTATTATCCCTTTTGGGGTTTTCTATCTCAATAAAATATTATTTTCAGTTTTCCTTCAATTTAAAGATAATTTTGCAGGAGGCCAAACTGACTCAAAATACCGTGACTGAGCTTCTTTACTAGTAAATGACGTGTTTTCAGTAAAAACTCTCCGCTGTAATTATCATAGTTAATATGGGGAAAGGGTATGAAGCCCGACAAACCTCTTTGTTGTATAACAATGCCGAAACGTCGGACATTTCACGATATTTTAGCGACTAAAAAGATAAAGTTACTTTATTCATCTACGTTGGCGCTACGCAGTTTTCATTTATTCTTACCTGGCGTTCTGCTACAACCAAAATACCAAAGCCGCCTGGAATAACAATGAGAGCTAAACCAATCAACAGGATGGACGTGAATGCCGTAGCGTCGTAAGTCCATTCTGGTTTGAGGCCAGGAAATGGAAGGATGGTCGTCTCCAGTGGATAAGGTGTTTTATTCTGACTCTTCAGCGCATTCATGTTTAGAATGGATCCAATGATGTTGATGCCAAGAGGTACAGAATGCACCGCTGTGTCGTTGTATCGCATCTCGATACTTGAAGAAAGATCCTGGAAAGAAGATGAGGTGAAAAAAATAGTCTAATTCAAGCTAAATAACCAAGGGTATGTCTTCGAGGTTCAAGTTGCACACTTGCACTGGACTTAAGTAGTGTACACCATCACTTAGACGAATCCATTGCTCTCTCAAACTGAAACTCGTTTCCCTTTCGCAATACTATTTACAATAGTTTTGTAACACCTATCTGGGACATCTTGCACTGCAATAAGATTGCGTGTTTCAGTTTGAGGGTAAAACCCACAATCTAAGGGCGCTTTCCATTCAACCAAAATTTCCAGGACTTCAAGGTTCAAACCGGGGGAAAATGATACGAAAATGTCCTTGGAAAATCCGAAAATTGTCAAATTTCCGAAATGCAAACTATCCAACCGAAAATTCCGGGGTGAAAATCAAAAGGAACAGAAATTTCCAGTAGAAATTTTCGAAAATTTCGTTAAGTTCGTTTTCCCTTTTTCTGGAAATTGTGGAAAATGCTGTTCTATTCGCCACTGGAAACGTCCGGACATGCAAACCAGAAAGTTTGGTCGCATATAATTTGAATTCTGTAAAAAATAAAAATTGTGACTTATTGCTCTAATTACCGCTGTAAGTTTAGTCAAGGAAAACATACTTACACTGGGTTGCAACAAATTGGAGTCCGCCGGAAACTCTCGAATGTTAAATCCCAAGTTATACAAAGCATGAGATGAACTGCTCAACACACTCTTTATAGAAGATACCAACGCGGTACCAACACTATATTGAGCCAAGTAAGCCATTACGTAGCCCATGGCATGATTGGTCGAGTTCTGTAGAAGAGCATTGGTGGCATAATCTGCGTTACTTCCTGGTTTCAAGTACAAATCAGGTGTCAGTTCAAGGGGTTGTGGTCCAGATGCTGCCGACGTTTCCTTGTCCTTACTTCCACGGAGTATCGAAAGACCAGCGATCAACAGAATGGGAGGAACAATAACTTGGAAGAACACCTTAGCTGGGGTACGAATTGTCATTAACCAGCGAATCTGTGAAAGTATAAGAAGGGAGCCATTTTAATTCAAATCTTTTAAAATCCCTTGTGTAAACATGTAACATTCTCTTGACTCGTCTCAATAGATTAGTCAATACCTTTCCTAAGAGTATAACCGTCTGAAAATTTTTTTTTAATCTAAACACCTTAAAAGAACCAGTCGCAACAAAGATTAAAGAATCAGTAGTAACAACAACAACGGATTTATAAACCCTACATTTCTTCCTTCTTACAAGAAGGATCACAATAAAAAATGCCTCAGTCAGTGCTGGCAAATTTACCTATTTTTGCAGCGATTTGAACATCTAAGCTGCATTGTATAGCAGGCATTGAGGATTAGACACAACTACTGTACCGAGACTGTCAATGATGCAACTGACTCTATTATAATACTGCCAGTGAAGTGAAAAAGTACAACCTGCGAAAACCGCGGGAAAACGTACAACCCGCGAAAGGCGCGGAAAAGTTGTATTAGCCTTGACGATGTACGACATCCTTGCTCTCATTGGTTAAAAGATATCACATGACCAACGCTGCCTCTGGCAGCATTCTGAGTTGAAATTAAGTCACGCCATGCCATTCTACTCTATCTACGATCAATAACATACCATTAGTAACCCTAGCAGCTGTTGTTTTGCCTTCCATACCGGTTTCTGTGTACTTTCCTTTAGTTCCGGATTATTTAGCTCCACCCCTGCCTTGTGCAATGCATTGACAGACCCTGGCACTTTCGAGCCCCCGTCTTCAACATTGACGGCATCCGTAGGTTTGAGAAGATCTTGATTACTCTCCCCCGTCTACCAGAATAAAATAAACAATTCGAGATCAACCTCATTTTGAAGCATCTTGAGAAATATCGGTACTGCCTCGTGAATTGTGAAACAGACGAGAGAAAAATGGACATAAACTTCAAAACGATGGCATTGGTTCCAAAAGGAGAGAAACAATAGGCCTCTGGCTCCAAACCAAAGAGTTTTAAGAAGGAATCCACCATAAGTTCGAGTAACAAGAGCACAAAAACTTTGTACCAAGGTTATTTACATTGTATTTCAAACTTCTGTGCGACTGTTTTGATAAATATCTTCTCAAAAGAAATCATTTATAACAACAAATGTCAAAAACAAATTTCGAAGTTCATATGAAACGCTTGAAAGAATCGATGAAATGAAACTGATGAACGTTTACCTGTGTTACGACAGTTTCTCTGAACTTTGAAATTTATCTTCTCGCGTTTGCAGGGTAAATTGTTTTTGGTGTTATTTCAGGCAACTGTATTTATATCTTTAGCTTTTAGAAAATGCAAAAAGGACTGTAATGTACCTAAAGTTATTCCGGTACGAGGTTTTTGTCCATAAAAAACTGAAATTGCTCGATTTCCTATCGGATTTCGTCTTGAGGCTCATCGTCTCGAAGGCCGTCACTTTGAGAGCCCAATTACAGTCACGTTTGTTCTCAAACGCTAAAAGGTCATCTACAAGAAACTAGAACTCCTAAGAAATGATTGATTTTTTGAGCGTGACAGTTCAGACCAGCAAACAAGGAAGCTGCTATGTCTGTATCATGTTTTCACTAAAATGGAAAGCCAATATGACAGAGCTTACAGAATAGGCCATGTCCGAGTTACCTTGTGCCTCTGTTTCAAAACGAGTCCTCATGCAACCTCGTTCCCAGGGTCTTTTCCCCCGCTTGGGGGAAAAGACCCTGGGAAAGAGGTTGATCCTCATGCAGAACCTTTCATATGAAAATGAGTTCGATGACTTGCATGAAAATGAAAAAGTAGGCGGAACACATTTCCATATGAATGGTTCCCCACGAAGACCCGTTTTGACACAGAGGCAAAATGAAATTCGGAATTTCCCTATATTGTCTCCACTCTCAGGGAGTAGCGAATATATCAAGCCTGACAATTTGCCTATACCATCTACTTTTAAATACCATGTCGAACCACACAATTGTCACCCTTGAAAATTTTCAGCTTACCGGAGGTTCGTCTTCTAATGAACACTCGCTATCTTCCTCATTTGTCTCTTCCAGTTGGAGGAAAACCTCCTCGAGCGTTGTCATGGAAACACCGTAGCTGGTCACGCCCAGTAAAGGGGCTGTGCAGACCTCAGAACTATCATTGTTATCTTCCAGGGCCTTGAGTAACTCTACAGGGAGCAACAATAACAACTAAAGGTATCAAGAATTTAGACGCTTCGAGGTGGTATGTTTTTGTATCAGGTCATTTGAAAGAGTCTGCTACACGTATTGACCTTTGTTCATTTTGTCTTGCCTCGTACACTACTCAAGGTTGCCACGCAGTGGGGAGATACATTGCGTGACAGCCAACGTTAACTCTCATTACTATCAAACCAGATGAAAATTTTGCCAGCAAGTCAAAAGTGGAAGAAATTTCGAAATGTTGTTTCGTTCTTCTTTTTTTTTGTAAGAAGTCTGTTGTAAAAATCAAAAGTTGCCAGAGCAAAGAAATTCAGATTCTAGGGGCGACCTGTACCGTTAACAAGGTTCTTTATAATTGGCCAAAAGAAACAATAGATAAAGAACACAAACAACGCCCCTAGCGCTAAGAACAAAGAGGTGCAGATTAACAAAAAAGAATCAAAATACCATAACTGCCGCGTATACGCCCTGGGCTTATACAACTTGTAAGGGCTTTTAGATGCGCTTATAAAGGGAGCGGCGTCTATCCAAGAAGAACAAATTCAAAACAAGGAAAGCTAGAGGGGGCTTAAATCCGGGGTACTTATAACCGAATGAATTTTCGGCTCACAGGTAGATGGGCCTATAACCAGGGGGAGCTTATAAGCTGTAGGGGGTTATAAACGAGAGAGCTTATACGGTAGTTGTTCAAATGAGGTGCAGGTCCACTGAAATTCTTGAAGGAATGTTAAACAAAGCAAGAACTTGATGTAGAGTGGTTCACGCTGGGATAACAAGGTCTTACCAGGCGTTATATATTAAAGAGGCACTGTCACGTTTTTTTTGTGTTTTTGTTTTTGTTTTTGCTTAAAACTGTTATAAATTCACGAAATGGTCCCTAAATTTATATAATAAAAACTTAATTAGCTCTAACTAAAAATTTCTTGAAAAAAGTCCACACCGCAGCAACATTTTTGCAAAATTTCAACGATTTTCGAGCCAAAATTGAACCTTTGAAAAACTGACATCCTGACGCTTTTTCAAAAATCCATATCACAATCCGTTTCCATCCTCGCCATCGTTAGCCATCCTCACTTCCTCGTGGGTTCTAATCATTTGTCGAGTACTGCTCTACAAAATAAAACCATTATTGTTCAGCTTCCAAAGATCGATACCTGTTTTTGAGATTTCGAAAATCTTGCTAAAAACGGTGACAGTGCCGGTCCCTTTAAGTGACGTTAGGACACGAACATGTTATGATTATTGCCTTGTTACTAACTGCTTCAGGTAAAACGTAACTTTAGTTACCTGGGAATCGTGATACTTGATCCATGGGCAAAGCAAACGCCATTTCTTTACCGTGGTGACGAATAGCCTCGGCTCCTTGAACTTTGCTTTGAACAAGCTCAGTCAAATGCTGCGTGTCGCAACCTTCTGCTAGTGCCATACTAATGAAAAATTGCAAACATGATACATTTTCTTGGATATAATTAACAATTAGATTATGAGCTCGAGATTTCTATGCGCGCTCGTCAACTATCACGCATAGAAATCGAGAACGAATAATCTAATTGTTTTAGTTTAGTATAAATCTATTAATTAGTCATTCAAAACTTAAACAACAACCTAGACAATCCTCTTCCCAGACACTTCGAAAACGCAATGAAGCGGCCGCCATTTTGTTAACAGCCGCACTCTGCTAGGCTACTCNGAAATCGAGAACGAATAATCTAATTGTTTTAGTTTAGTATAGATCTATTAATTAGTCATTCAAAACTTAAGCAACCACCTGAACAATCCTCTTCCCAGACACTTCGAAAACGCAATGAAGCGGCCGCCATTTTGTTAACAACCGCACTCTGCTAGGCTACTCACTATCTCCAATAGAGTAGACGGTGAGTAGCGTAGCCAAAAAGAGAACGGCATTCGTTACAGAAAGCCAATATATCTGTTGTATACTAACAGTAAATTTATCTTGTGGAAGTGGCAACTCTACTTATTGCAATGAACAAGTAATGTTTTCACGTATGTATAACAAACAAACCTCGCCGCAAAATTGGCCTTTTTTGATGACCTTTTACGAAAAATTCCGTAGTTCTTACTCTCTGGTTTTTACACCGTCGCTAAAGTTCCTAGATTTTCTCTCTCTCCAAAATTATTTTTCGTTTTACGCTCGTTTTACTTTACGCTCTTCTAAGTAAATCCACCTTTCGAGTTCAAAGAGTCAGTTACAGAACTTACCTCAATTTTTTTTCGGTTTTGTTTTTTTCTTTGTCACACTGCATATTTTACATTATATTTACTTACAATACAATGCTTGTTACTAACAACACAGTACATACTGTAAATCTAACTACATGTACATTGCGCTACATTACAAGAAAATAAAGGGTTGTGGACAGTTTATACGACACTACCTAACTACAGTACGTTACATGACATTAGTTATTTACAATACGCTATATTTACTACACTCACTTCAAATGATATCCAATTCCAAAGCGGTTCTTGAGAAAAAGTGAACTTCCCGCACAGCGTACTTTTCCTCTGGATAAAATAGCCTTGTAATCTGCAGAAAACAAAAGCATATCACTTAAAAAGTGCCCTGACTCACTGGTCTAAAGAACTGATAACCTGGATTAGCATTTCACTGACAGGCACATCCAGTGACAAAACCAGGTTATGATTTCCTCAGGGTCCAGAGTAGTTCTGCAGCGATAATCGAGCCATGCACGAAACCAAGAACGTCAATCAAAATTTCAGATTAAATAAAGCAATTGCTACAGTATTCTAACGACTATTAGTATAAATCTATTAGCGTTCTATCACGAATGCCGTTCTCTGATTGGCTACGCTACTCGCTATCTATTCTGTGATAAATAGTGAGTAGCGTAGCAGTGTACCCTTGTTAACAAAATGACGGCCGCTTCTTGGAGTTTTCGAAGTGCCTATGAGGAGGATTTAGATAAAGGTTTGAACGACTAGTAGATTTATACTAAAACAATTAGATTATTCCCTCTCGACTTCTATGCGGGATAGTTGACTTGTGCTGGGCCTTCGTCAACTATCGCGCGATAGAAATCTTCAGCTCATAATCTAATTGTGTGTTAGAAATCTTTCAACTTGAAATTCGATAAGTCAATCAAATTAGGTCCCAAAAACGCTGATATCACATCAAAACGAAGAAAACAAAGAAAACCAGTCCATGATCTATAAGGAAAAATAGGAAAATTCAACATCTGCGTTACCAGCTAAAATGTCAGCTTCGTCCATGAAATGGGTCGTAAGGAGGACCACCCTGTTTTTGCACTTTTCTTTTAACAAAGACCACAGGAGGCGCCGAGAATATGGATCCATCCCGCTTGTAGGTTCATCTAAAATGACCACCTTAAAAGTGAGAATAAACACATGAGCGTCAAATCTCATTTATTTACTATTTTCGACGCATTCCTTATCCCTAAGACACTCGCGTGGGACTCGTATATGAAAAGGATGGGGTTTCTCGTCGTACCTTTTAGGCGTTAAAAAAACTGTTTTGGTACCTCTTAGGGTTTGTAGCCTCAATAGGTCCACAGCAGGAGTTTCCACGGTATCTTTTAGGGTATTGAGCCAAACTGGAAATATGGGAGGAGATCAGTTTGATGATCAACTGATTTTTCATTTTTGTCGCATTCACAACTCATCAAAAATGTGCTGTTTAAGAATTGGTACCTCTTAGGGTTGAAAAGAATTTCAAGCCACGCCCTCAAAACAGGATCTCGGTACCTCTCAGGGGTACTTTTCAAAACTTCTCACGAGCACCCCACCCTTTTTATAAGGGAGTCTTTCCTCCCGGGTAAGGTACATGTAGTTTTAAGAATTTAGTGATACACTGTGCATTGCAAGAATAATCCACTTATATAAGATGACGATTTTCATTCTTCTAACCACCTGTCTACTTTGTTATGCATAGATACTTTAAGGATAAATCAGTTCTTCATCAATTTTCAAGTAAATACGACAACCTAGTACTTAGTACCCTGAGAAGTGAACTTCCAGGGAAAGTTCTTAGCATTTGAGAATCTTACTAACTTCTGAAGTTAGAAATTGAATGATGTTTATTCCAATTAATTAATTGTGTATGCAACTTTGTCAGACGAAGGCCAAAGAAATGATTTTTGGTTTTATTTTCACCATATTCTATTTTTTCCCACTTCATGCCTGGCCACCATTGGAAATCTGTCAGTCAAAACCAGAAAGCACACCTTTTTCAGTTGAGTTCACTTCTCAATACCAGGAGACATCATGCAGCAACTTTTGAATTTAAAACTTTTCATTTGCACACAATTATTCTAACCCATGCTTGTACAGAATAACAACTGATACGTACCTTTGGATCTCCTATAAGTGCCAAGCCCACACAAAGTTTTCTCTTCTGGCCTCCACTCAGATCTTTTGACAAAGTGTCCTGTTGGTCAGCCAAGTCAATCTCCTCCAACAGTGAACTCACCTTGAATGAAAATTCATAGTAAACAAGGTTAAAGATGCACAGTGTGTGGAATGAAAAATTAATAGTAAATATCTTAAGTCCTGAACATACACCCATGAATTTCCTTCCCAAGGTTAGGCCTGTAAAGGAGACAGCAAACCACATGAGACAGAGATAAATTCTCTTGATCTCCCTAAAGGGTTTGCATTGTTCTTCTGAATGAGCAATGAAGCCAGATACAGTGGAACCCCATTAACACGGTCACCAACAGGCCATGAAAATTTGGTCATATTTACAGGGTGGCTGGATTAACGGGGTAGGGTCAAACTTCATCACTGGTCTAACTTGAGTGACGTTTTAACAGATATATCACAATTATTGCTCTTCTACACAACTGTTCATTAATAAGCATTTGGAATGCTGATATATTTTTAAAACAATTTAAACTTGAATCAGTGTGTATAAAATATGAACAATGGAAAGATGAACATGGGTAAGACTGAATGAGAGTAGGCCATTTTGGGGAATTAAAACAAGAAGAAATAATTTATTCATCCCTTGACTTTGATGTTATTTCTCCTAAACCTTGGAGCTATGCTAGACTTTTGACATTTCAAAAATAGCTTATTGTTGTGATTAAGGCAAAATGAATCATGTTACCATATCATCTCTCTCCTCTGCTTCTACTTCCTTCAACCCAGCATAGAACTGCAAGTGTTCCTTCACAGTCATGAAATCAAACAACACGTTCTGCTGCTGGCAAACACCTTGCAAAAACAAGAAACAACAGAAAAAAAAAATTAAACATCAGTTTAAGCTTAAAAGTTTTAATTAAAAATTTACCATATGCTGAATAAAAATAACATCAGAACAATCCTTTCATTGAAAATTCAAACTTTATTGCTTCACAACTGTTTTTAACAATAAGTACCTGTCTTGATTAAAAGAAGAATTGTTGATTTCCTACTAAGGGGTCACATCTACAACTAAGCTTAATATTGTGTATAAAACATGAACATGGCATGATCTCTAGTATTTTATAAGCCTTAAAATTTTATAAGATTGGAACAGGTTTTCTAGTTATCATTTTCTCAACAAGAAAGTAACAAACATTAAATGAAGTGGTCAAGTATACCCTTTTTGTTAATAGACTGGAATGGTTACGAAGCCCAAAAACGTTTTCTGGTGTTTGTTTTTTTGCACAGAACCCTGTAATCTTCAGTAGCTGTTTACTTATGACTGAAGAACAAACCAATAATTTGATTGTAAAACATGATTCATGCATAGTGCATGAACGTAAAACAAAAGATTGTGCACAGTTGTGGACCTTCCAATGTAAATCTTGGCATCTTTGTTTGCTCCTTTGATGTTCGCCAGGCTTAATAACTGTTCCCCTCTATTAACTGTGAGTATACAAAGCTAGTCTACCGAGGAGCTATTACAGCAGCCACAGTAGGCATCTAACAATATGGGCATCATGTCATTCACATAGAGATTATCAGAAACTAAAAAGTACATGAACATTTTAAGACATTAAAGAATGGCACGAGAGCCTTGTTAGCTTACCAATAAGCTTTCTTATTTCTTGCATCTGAATAGGGTCTGTGATGTCCAATCCATAAATAGTAGCATTGCCTTCAGAAGCAGGAACCATTCCTGTCATCATAGCAATCAGGGTAGTTTTGCCTGCTCCATTGTGACCCAGCAGTGCTGTCACATGACCTTCGTAGATGTCCATACTGACTCCTAAAGGAGCATGACAAGTGTACTGGCATTGGAATTACATGTACCACAGATAGAACTTCCTTCCTTAGGTCAACAGGTGAACTTCCTTAGGGCTTATCAGACTTTTTGAGTTCATTTACTTTACAGATTGTTTAAAGTAAGAACATTTGAACTGTGAACACTTGTTAGTTTTTATACTTTTTTAGTGACCATAGAATGTGCCTGCTCTTCCTTTTAACAAGTAGAGTATAAAATTAGTGTTTTTACACTTTAAAAATGCTTATATTATACATTGTAAGAAGAGCCTTTATTCCATAGTCATTAATAGAAAATGTTAAGTGTTCAGGGTTCAAGAGTGTCCTTACTGTAACACCTACAGTTTTTTATTAATCATGCACATAAAAAGTGCCAAAGCAGAGAAGGGAAAAGCAAGATTCCTGATTTTTGAGTGAGAAAATTGAGAGATAATCCTTTACCATCAACTGCCACTACATCCTCTTTTCCATGGTAGACTTTCCTCAATTTGTGGATGCTAAAAGGAAATAAAATCTGACAATCAAAACTTTAAGTATTCATCCAGCAACTATAAATTGCAAAATAATGAAATACTGTCTTGTACTTTGCATGTTTAATTTGCAGGACTTTACTGACTTGCTTTTTAGAAAATGTATTGAGCAGGCTCTCACCAATATAGAGCAATGATGTTCTCTTCTCTTCCATTCAAGTGCAATCTAAACTCGATATCCAATTTTAAAGACCCCTAATTTGGTTCTCATACATTTGCTTTGAGTTGTGATCACTTCAATGCAATTATTTTAAATTTTTCATGCTGTTATCAATGAGTGAAATTTTGTTTTGTGATGGCCCCCACCTGTTCTACTGAACAAATACAGTGAAACCTGTATTAAGGAGACACCCTTAGGACCCTCACTAGTGTCCACTTAATATAGGGTGTCTGCTTTTAAAAAAACAGGATCTGATATGTTGTGCAATAGCCTTTTTGAAATACCCTTATAATTTTTGCATTTCATCTCATTTCAATTTAATACTTTAACCTTTGATCTGTCCCTCTACTCTCTCTTCTTTTGTCTTCGTGGGTTAAAACCAAACCAAAACAAAAAAAACATAACACCACATCAAGAGGACACAGTGTAATACCAAAGACTGCTCATAATAAGGGTTCCGGTCCGGTCCATTTCATACAGGTTTCATGGTAACCTTTGTTTTCAATACCTTATTACTTCATTTCCATGCATGGCTGCTGGCATGGCCTCAATATCATCAGAGGCCTCTTGCACTCTTGCCCACATCTGTCTTGCAGGAACATTCCTTTTGTCTTTTGCAGGAAATAAACCTTTCCAAAAAGAAGGCATGAAGATGAAGTGCGGGGGTTTCCGTGGACCATACTCGGCAGGAATCACTGCATCAAAGTACAGTGCCAACAAGAAATACAAAGCAGCGTCAACTATCAACATGACGATGAGATTGATGGCTGGAAATGTTCCCTTGGTGGTCAAATTGTCAAAATGTAGACCTTCCAGGTCAACAGCCTGAAAATATAAAAGGAAAAAAGTGGCAACACAGTTGCAGTTTTAAAATAACATTGTGGGATTTATAAACTTGTAAACCCAGTAGAGAGGATTCCTGAATGGCATGATGTCTTACATTTATGTTGAACTTTTAGGGTTTTATAAATTGTGTAGTAAAAGAGGTTTTGCTACAGTTGTATATTTGCTGAGAACCTTAAAACCATCTGGTTAAAAGTTTAAAGAAGTAAAAATTTTATAACAATGTTTCAACATTTGCTTAACATCTTTATCAAGTCAAAGATGATCAAAACTGTGCAAATGTAATTGTAAAAGAATTCCTAAGAGACATGAAAAAATATTTTAATATAATGTAATGTGATTCAGTCAGGTATTTGCACACAGAGTCAAGTAAAATGTTTGACATGAATAGAGTCTTTTTGTACTCCTTAATGAGGAGCATTTCAAAAATTAAGCAATCAAACATCGATCTGCATTTTTTTCAAGACAGAGAATTTCTTATCCCTAGGCAGACCATGTTCCTCTAGATGCCTCCCAACTGCTGAATATTTGTGTTTGCTAATGCCTATTTCCTCCACCTTGAACATTCTAAAAGATGATGATGGACATTTCATCAAGTAAACCACTTCCCAAACAATGGACAAGTATCATTGTAGAGCTGCCAGCCTCTGCAAACAGACCATTTTTCACCAACAAGACAACAACATCCCAAGTGAATTGTGAACTAGGCTTGGTGTCAGGCTAAAAAGCCCCCCTTAACTAAGAACCCTCCCTCCCATAAAAACTATTCTTAAACCATGAGCTATTAGAGAATTTTAACATGATTGACAAAATATTTAGCACTCGCAGTTTGACACACTACCTGTGAAATAGCAAGACCAAATGCTGTCGGTGAAAAAAGTGACAATGCCCACTTCACAGGGTTGGGTACATCTACGATGATCAGAGGAATAGCGATTGCACCAAATATTGTCGTTATTAATGACGCAAA